AATATCACGCAGGAGATAGGACAACGAAAAAAACGAGAGCCGTACCAAAGGCAGAAGGATGTATGTCCAGCGCATCAAGGCATGACAGCCACGGTCCTTTACTGAAGTCTTCGTCTCCTGTGAATTCTGGCTGGCCATGCAGGAATTGGTTATCTGGAAATGGGCCGCCACTGCCACCAGCACCATGACCAGGAGCACATGATAGCCCTGCTAGTCTTCGCTGAAGGATGCCAATAGGGCCTGGAAGAATCCTCAGGCTCTCCGCCCGAGCTCTCCCATCCAACGGAGGAGAATCTTTCTCAAAAAAGGCATTTTCTTCAGGACTCAAATCCACATCTTCAATTTTTACCCTGGTCTCCAAACCCTTCGCCTTTTTTCTCCTCTTGTTCCCTCTGGGTGCTCCGGAATCGTCCAGCCCGAAACTCATATCTTCTCCTGGTTCAAACGCAGAGAACCTCTCGCTGTCACCCCCCAATCCGCGAGTCTGATCTGCACGCTGAGAGGGTAAATCACGATCTTCAGTAGGTTCGCCGTCTGGGTCTCCTCGCAATTGATCAGCACCCCCTGCCAAGCCATCAATGCCCAGGTCGAAATCTCCGAGGCTGAAATTCGCCCAGCCACTGACCCCGTCGTCAACACTGTGGCCTGCAGCATCATTATGCTGAGACGGGGTGACATTCCCTCCCCGTCCTCGGCCGTGCGAGAATTCGCCAGTGGCAATGGCCGGAGATCGGGCCCCAGGCCTCGTCCAATCCGCGCCATCGTCAGTCCTCCTTGCTGAGGCGAAGTTAAAATCCTCGGAACTTGGCTGAGGTGGGACGGCGGCTCCTGGAAGCTCGTTACTATCTCTGTCTTGAATATCAGCACGTTGATGTGCAGGCGTGAAGTTTGGAAAAGCATTTCTTCCACTGGTGTCCGCAGCTGCGTTCGATCGGACGAGCCGAGCACTGCTGTTTCCTGGTAGTTTGCTCCCTTCAGTCTGATTCTGCCCCGACTGCCTCTTGCTTGCATCCGGGCCCCTTCCCAGGGCGGACAGAATGTCAGAATCGTCGACATCGAGCTCTTCGTCGAAGCCATCCGCGAAATCAGGAAACAACGCCATACATGCACGTTGCTATTTTCCTAGTCGTCGACGACCGCTCCTGCCCTAGGAGTCACGGAAAAGAAACAGCACGAAGCGTAGGGATGGTCAGGCAACAGGGAGACTGGCAATAATTCCTGCGGACACCGTAGCCCTTCCCGGTGATCACAGCCTTCCCTAGCAACTACAGGAATCGCTGTAACCTAGAGGCCTCCATTCTCCAGGACTCACTGCTCAAGTCGGAGTTGGGTGGCAGGGATGGCCCCTGGATGTTGTCGTGCTCGTGACGACAGTTTGTTGATTCTATTCTACATAGTCTACACCATGAAAGTGTACAACAAATATTGCCATATCCCCACTTTGTTTCTCTATACTTTTCGGGGTATGCGGCAGGTCATCTGCAGATTGACAACGCCCCAAAATCCTCTCGCTACTAGTTCCGCTGATCTCTCCCCCCACCTTTCGTGCTTCGGATTTCCCTGCCACCACCCCTAGTGGCTCCTCAAACAACCAAACCAACCCCTCGCGCCAGTTTCCGCGCCTCAGCGCCCTAACCATAGCCCCCCGCGCCCCCCCCACCCCCAAACCCCCCACTCTTTTGACACGCTTCCCCGACAAATCCCCTTCTTTCCAGAGTCTTCCGCCCTCCGCTTGGCACATCCCCCCCAAATGCAGTGCCACACACGAAGGTAGTTCCTTTTTCCCTCTTTCCCCTCCCACGCCCCTCTCGCACCTCCTAGACATTGTTCCTTACAGCTATGGCGGAGGCTACGGCGCCCAAGTCATACAGCCTAGATGCTGTCAAGAAGCCCCTGAAGAGGGCCCGCGTTAATCGTCCCTCGAAGCTGCGGTAAGGGTCTGGTAAGCGCTGCGTCAGTGGTCTGCGAGCTAGGGTTTCGCTCTGGTCACAGCCTTTCCTCCCGCTCTTTCACAGACGCCAGGGTTTCGCTCCATCCTTACGCGATCTCCGCCAATCGCGTGTCCTCCGGCACGAGTGATGAATTAGGGTTGGGTGCCTGATGCCATTGACGGGATCCTGCTTCGCTTTGTGTCCTTCGCGAATGGCTGCTGTTCGCAATGCTTTGTCTCCGATCATCACAGTGCGAGCATCACCCCAGCCACAGTGCTCATCATCCTCTCCGGCCGCGGCCATGTGACTTATTATGCTCATGCTCCGTCTCCCCGTTTGTCTCCCATTGCCGCAGTACGAGCATCACCCCCGGCACAGTGCTCATCATCCTCGCCGGCCGCGACAAGGGCAAGCGCGTCGTCTTCCTCAAGCAGCTCGAGTCCGGCCTCCTCCTCGTCACTGGTACGTCAACGCCGTTCGCCGTTTCTTAGAATTATAAAAAATCCCCTCCTCGTCAGGGTAACGTTAACGCCGTCGTGAAGACTGCGCTCTACAGCCTTCTACAACTTGCTGGCTGTAGCCTTCTACTCGGCAGCTCTCGAGTCATGCCGCGTCACTGACCTTTGCTTGTTTTTGCAGTGGTTGCATTTTGCACTGTCTTCTCCTGGTGGTAGTTCTAGGAGCTCCAAAATGGTATTCGCTTGTTCAACTGCTTCATCACACCCTGTCCCACCACAAGTTCTCCATGGATGCTATTCACCAGGATTTGGTGAGCACCCGTAGAGGTCGTAGCTATTCTCTTGGGCCGCAGATTCACGGTGGTGTCCGCGGTGTGTTCGCGCTGCCGTTTGCAGCTAGTAGGCTCCCCAGTATCAACAGGTTCCTCTGCATACCCACTGTTGTTACGCCGCTAGGCAGATAGCTTCTTGAGCCATTATCAGCCAGCCACTCCGAATTCTGCGTCTGCTCTCTCGCCTCCACCCAACGCTTCTAGACACCCTAGGCTGTAGAAGCCAGTGGCATCGCGTTTGTGCAGGGGCGTGGGTTGCTCCGATTACGTCCAGTAATTTCAGCAGCCGTTGTTGTCCCGCTCGATCGCCTTGACCGAATCTTGGGGGTTCTGACGACGATTGGTCGCTCTAGAATACCGCAGACGGATGTACCGCAGACGGAGATTTTCAGTAGTAAGCTTGGCGATCACATACTGGTCGGCCATAACTCACGGCTAGTCGTTTTCGGGGGTTGCGACGCTGTCAGTGGGGTCGGACGGTGGTGGTGCAGCCGGTGATTATACGAAGTATTTGCTACTCTTGATGGCATCGCCACATGACGATTTACTATCCACCAAGATCTATGAGGCTGCTACCACCGGCGTTCTAGTGATTTGTGGACCCAGTACGGTTCCTCGGTCCCTGTCTTGGTTTTTACTCTTAATGCGTTCTCTTCAGTATTCACACTTCTGATTTCTGGCGCTCCAGACCCGGCCGGTGATTATATCTACGATTGCTACTCTGGATGGCTTCTGGCCATGTGACGATTATCTTACCACCAAGATATGAGGCCGTTGTGAAGAAGACATACGTAGGGTTGTCCACTAGCTTAGTGGTCTAGGTCTAGTAGTAGACACTGATCGGCGGTAGACGCGGATCCGTAGTAGACACGGATCCCATCATCTTCTGATTCCATCATCTAGCCCTTCACGGCTGTTCTCTAACTTTTATGGCTCCTCAATCTCAGCCTCTGGTGGTGGTTGGTGACGTCAGCGAGGATGCCCACCATGTCCCAGGCAACCATGGATGTCAAGCACATTGTTGGTTCCGACGACGTTTTCCTCCTTTTTTTCTCCCTGGAAAAATCCCTGAGATGCTGCTCGAAGATGGCGACGTGGCCGGTGATTATACGAAGTATTTGCTACTCTTGACGGCTACGGCCGCATGACGATTTACTATCCACCAAGATCTATGAGGCCACTGTACTGTCGTCCGATGCTCGAATGTGTCAGACCGCCTGGCCATGCTCACTGGAGGCTGGCTGCCATGTCATCATCTCACTCTTCGTCACCCTCAGCCCTATCCTCTTCAATTTCTGGCCTCTTCTCCATCCCCACGCCTACTTCCCATCCTCCATTCTCCCCTCCCAGGTCCCTTCAAGGTGAACAGGGTTCCCCTGAGGAGAGTGAACCAGCGCTACGTCATCGCCACGTCGACCAAGGTGGACGTGAGCGGCTCTGACGTGGCCAAGTTCGACGACAGCTACTTCGCGGGCGAGCAGAAGAAGAAGGAGAAGAAGAGCGAGGGCGAGTTCTTCGAGACCGAGAAGAAGGTATCCTCTTGATTTAGTGCTCGCTGGAGTTGGTTTCAAAAGTTTTCACGGAGAGTTTGGAGAAGATGAGCGAGGGCAAGTTCTTCGAGATCGAGAAGAAGGTAAGCCCCCGAGGCGCTTGAGAAGGCGAGTACAAATAGGTCAACTGCCCCTTGGTGTCCTGTGTAGATTGCCCGATTCCCCCTCGGTGTGTCACTGTACTAGTCAGCCACTCTGGTGGTCCAAAGTTTTCCAACCTGCCCTCATCTACCCCCCCCGCCCCCCTGACCCCGTCCCCCTTTTCTTCCCCTTCCCCCCCCTTCCCCCCTTCGCCCCCTTCCCCCTGTCCTCCTCTCCCCCCTCCCGCTCCTCAAATACCATTATTCAGGAGAAGAAGGTGGTGTCGCAGGCGAGGAAGGATGACCAGGCAGCGGTGGACGACAAGATCCTGGCGGCCGTAGCCAGCGAGCCCCTGCTCAAGGAGTACCTCTCTGCCCGCTTCTCACTGACGTCCGGAGACAAGCCCCACCGCATGCAGTTCTAGATGCCGCTACTTCTGGTGTTGCTGCCGCTGTGTCAGGCGGCAAGGGGAACTACTGTGTTCTCTTATAGCCTCCACTGTTCCTATGAGCATGCTTGTAACGTTTACTGAGAAAAGCTATTGTTACCCAATTCGTGTGAGTAGAGTACCCTGCTGTGCGCTTTCCACCACGTCCTAGGACAATCCTATGTGTAATGAGGAAGACTACTGTGGAAGGCGTTACTGGTCAGATGTCAACCAAGGAAAGAAACTGCTGCTGCTCCAACAATCAAGGGGCTGGAACAGAAGGATTTGAAAAAATCAGGGGCCCATCTTGGATTCATATGGTTCGAGCTGTTCCAGGTTAGGTAACAAGCATGATAGCCCACATGTCTTCAAAACTCAAAACTATTCCCAAGCACTTGTTTCTGGAGGCTAATTGACTGCCACTCAGGACGAGCGCATGGCTGAGGCTGCTGGTGGCCCCTTCTTCGTCCCCATAGCTGCGACTATGTGCTCCTGGTGACACGTGACAGATAGTGAAAAGACACGTGGAGGATGGTGACAAGACACGTGACAAATATCATCAAAAGAGCATCATAAGTCCGGCAACCAGCTCCACATAGCTCACGATCGGCGCATGACTCATGATGGGTGCATGGCTCATGATGGGTGAATGGCTCACAGACAACCAGCTCCGCATCAAGCACGAGAGCAGGATTGTCACTGCGCCATGAGCCCATCATGCGAAACAGTCGTTACAGAAGGGGATGTAGTGGAACACTAGAAAACGAAGGGGCATTGATAACACACATATCCGGGATGCCAGGTGCATCGGAATCACTAGAGAAACATGCTATGATGGGGTACAAGGCACGGTGTAATGGGGTACAAGGCATGCTGTGATGGGGTACAAGGCACGCTGTGATGGGGCACAAGGCACGCTGTGATGGGGTACAAGGCACGCTGTGATGGGGCACAAGGCACGCTGTGATGGGGCACAAGGCACGCTGTGATGGGGTACAAGGCACGCTGTGATGGGGTACAAGGCACGCTGTGATGGGGTACAAGGCGTGGCGTGCTGTGATGCACGCTGTATGACAGGCCTTTGGAGTGCATGGGAGCGCTCAACTCACCGAAACGAAGTCGAAGGCGTGGGAGTCCTCCTTGCTGGATGCACTCGGGGGAGTCGGGCGCACCGTGGGATCCCCCGAGAAATCAAAGTCACTGCCCGCCCGGCCTCCACCCCCCATCCTCCCTCCATTCGCAGCACCCATCATCCCCCCCACTCCGCCCATCATGCCTGGCCCCCCAACTCCCCCCATCCCCATCCCCATCCCTCCGCCCATTCCCATGTTGACACCCATACCCATACCCATGCCCATGTTCATGCCCATACCCATGGGCATCATGCCAGGAGCACCTGGCATCATGACTCCCCCAGGGGGGACCATCATAGGCACGGGTACCATCATAGGATGCATGCCTGGCCCTGCACCCATGCCCATGCCCATGCCCATGCCCATGCCCATGTTCATTCCTCCTACTCCTCCCCCTGCTACTGCTGGTCCAGGTGCCATGGGAGCGGGCATGGTCATGGGCGTCCCAAGCATGCCCACTGCCCCGATTCCCCACTGCTGCCCTGCCTGCTGCTGCTGCTGCTGGTGGAGCAAGACTGAAGGTGAGGCAGCCGGCTTTGGCTTCACCGAGCCTGCAGAAAGTGGTTGCGATTGCTGCTGGTTCACACTCATACCCGCAAACAGATCCTCCCCTCCTCCTCCTCCCCCACCAGCACCAGCACCAGCACCGTTAGCACCACCTGCAGCAGCAGTTGGTGCCGGTCCTTGCTGGTGGTTCGCGTCCGGCCCTTGGCTGTTGAGGCTCATCCCTTGAAAGAGGTCGGACGCTTGCCCTGTGAGGTCGCCAGAGAGAGCAGCAAAAGGGTCCACGGCTACAGCTGCAGCGGCTGTAGTGGGAGCAGGGGCAGATGGCGCTACAGCGGCAGGAGCAGGCGCAGGAGGAGGAGGAGGAGTGGCAGAATGCAAGGAACTGAGCAGGTCATCCCCCCCTCCCAAAAGGTCATCCACGCCTGTAGAAGCCACGGGAGAAACCCCGACTCCCAACCCACCAGACACGTGTGATACGGACGACTCGTCACTCGCGATCGCTCCTAGATCTCCACCAGCTCCTCCTCCGCCATCTGCTCCCTGCGCCTCGTCTTCACCCACGTCGATCAAGTCCGGCACGTCAACTGCTGCTGCTGCTGGCTGCGGGGATGCCTGCCCCCCCTGCTGGTGCCGCAAGCCCAGGAGGTCAAGCACCTGGGATGGGGGGAGGTATGGGGTGGGTGGGGATGTGGTGGAGTACGGTGGAGAACAGTAGAGTAATGGCAGTGGTCTGAAGAATCGCAGGCGCTCAAAAGCAGGATGTTAACTCCCATACACCATCAACTCTCAAGCACATCATACCCGCTTGGCCTTGTCTCTGAGGGAGGTCTGAGGCGAGTCCACGTTGTCATGCAGCGCGTGGGGGCTGTCAACCAGGTAACCTCTGTCACACCCTCAAGCACGTACCATCGCCGGAGCAATCTAACAGTACGCATACCCGCTTGGCCTTGTCTCTGAGGGACGTCTGAGGCGAGTCCACGTTGTCATGCAGCGCGTGGGGGCTGTCCACGAAGTGGTCAAAGATGGCATCGCACTGCGCGTCGCCCTCCTGCCGCAGCACTGCCTCCACCACACACATGGCCTTCAGACGCGTCTGGGGGAAGGGAGGAGGGGGTTGGGGGGGACAAGGGGGAGGTGGATCAAAGAATGAGGAGAAGTCACGACTCGGGTGGCCCTCCTGCCGCAGCACTGCCGCAGCACTGCCTCCACCATAACTTAAAGCGTCTCTGAGAGGGGGGAGGGGAGGGGGGAGGGGGGGGAGAAGAGGGATTGGGAAATAAGGGGAAAGGGGAGGGGGAAGGGATTAGACGCGACAAATAGAGTAGCCCCAACACTAGGAGCCTTGTGACAACCGACACTAGGAGCCTTGTGACAACCGACACTAGGAGCCTCATGAATCATGATGCCAGGCACTAGGAGCCTCATGACGCCCGACTAGTGCTGACGAGAGCGCCAAAGCGCCAACAGATGACTGCCCGCCACCAAATGTGTGACAAGTGCAAATCGAAGAGCACTAATTTTCTGACCGCTTTGTCACCGCCACTCCATCTCCAGTGACCAGACACCGCTGTCCGTGTTATCCCTCCCCCGTCAGTGACCAGTTACTACCACTGTCAGTGTCAGTGTCAGCTCTCTCTCTCCCGTACACAATCCGTGTGTAATGAGTCAATTTTTGAGTCGACTAAAAAATCGACTCATTACACACTCCATCTCCAGTGACCAATTACCACCACCACTGTCAGTGTCAGTGTCAGTTTCAGTGTCACCTCTCTCTCTCTCCCGTACACCCTGTCCCCAGCTCCCCCCTTTTCCCCTCACCCTCCTAGGCTTCCTCCATCTTGACCATGCCCCCACCTGTCATGATGCTATGCATTCTCCCAACCACCTGTCATGATGCTATGCATTCTCCCACCCACCTGCTACGTGGTACTCTCCCTGCCCCCTTCCCCCTTCCCCCCAGTTTCCATAGGTTCCTGCCCTGCCCCCTCCCACCCCAATCTCCCCCCCTTTCTCCCTCCCCCTTTTCGTCCCCCCCTGTGTCACCTGCCACAGGTTGCTAGCGAGGCGGGCCTCCAGGGCCTGAGCCACAGCGCCGGCGTTCAGCTTGCCCAAGCTCGCGATGAAGCCCCTCAGCGCCTCCCGTGTGGGCTGCAGCCGCACCCCGCCCGCCCCAGTCATGCCCTCCACCACCCGCTCCTCCTCACTGCCCCCTCCGCCCCCTCCGCCCCCTGCTCCGCCCCCTGCTCCGCCCATCCCGTCCCCAGACCCAGGCGCTCCTCCCCATGCGCCAGCCTCAGAGCGGCCCTCCCCTTGCTGCCCCCCGCCGTCCCACCCTCCCCCCGCCCTGTCCTCCTCCGCATCCCCCCCTCCATACGCCCCCCCTCCTCCACCACCATATGGTCCTCCACCCCCCCCATATGGCCCTCCACCCCCCCCATATGGCCCTCCTCCCCCTCCACCACCCCCCCCGCCGCCATACGCCCCGCCTGCTCTATACCCGTGGTCTGACCCGTACTCTCTGTCCCTGCCGGAACCAGAGTAGGAGGCAGCAGGCGCGGCAGCAGGCGAGTACGAGTTGGTGGACGAGTCAAACGTGCGCCCCTGCCGGTCGAACCCCACATACTTGGACTTGGACCCGCCTGACGAGGCGGAGGAGGAGGAAGCGTGAGGCGAGTACCGCTGCTGGTTATAGGAAGACGCGTCTCCATACCCCCCGTCTCCGTACCCGTAAGCATCCCCACCTCCTACCGAGTCCAACCGTGGGCCAACGTAGCTCCCCCCGCCTGCTGCTTCTTCAAACTGACCCGCCCTTCCTCCCGGCCCTCCTCCTCCTGGAACTACCACACCCGTCAGCTTGCTAATCCCCTGCCGAATGGACTCACTACTCACGCCCAGCACAGCCCCAATGCCTCCTGCCCCCCTCCCCCACCACCTCTCCCTCCCCCTCCTCCTCCCCCAGGACCCCCGTTCTCCCTGACCGGCGTGCTTCCGAATCCCTCCATTCTGCGCCGCCCGCCCTCCATCCCACCTCCGCCTCCGTACCCCCCGCTATAGCCACCCCCTGTAGACGCCCCACCGCCACTGACACCACCGCCGCCCATGGAGCCTGCGCCGGGCTTGACGTCGTTCTGCGGGTTGAAGATGGCCTGCACGGCCTCCTGCGCCATCTCCCTGACGGCCTTGTTGGGCGCGTCGCCTCTTAACGGATCCGGCTGTCCGCGATAGTGCACCATGCCCTTGATGGCCGCGGAGTGGCGCTGTATGCTGCGGCGGAACTCCGTGCCCGCGCGGGATACTGTGTATTTTATCAGCCGCAGGGCCTGGGAGGAGAAGAGGGGTCGAAGGACGAGACATGGGGAAGAGGGAAGAGGCATGGGGGAGAGAGAGGAGATATGGGGAAGAGGGAAGAGGCATGGGGGAGAGAAAGGAGATATGGAGGAGAGGGATTTTTGAGTCGACTCAAAAGTCACCTGGGAAGAGGCATGGGGGAGAGAGACGAGATATGGGGGAGAGGGACGAGATATGGGGGAGAGAGACGAGATATGGGGGAGAGGGATATCGGCAGAAAGGGCTCGTCTTCATCTCTTCATCAACAGAATGCGCTGAGCGGCGATTAGAGATGAAGACGAGCCAGCAAGGAGAAAAATGGGGAAGCAGGACCGAGAAAGCTCGTTATAGTCGCATCCGCACGCGACCGAGAAAGCTCGTTATAGTAACCTAGAGATTGGCCAGCTCACGCTTTGGACCTAGGATGGCATCGCCGATTCCTGGTCGAAGCTGTCGACGATCGAGCGCATGCTAAGTCGAGTCGAAACAACGAGCGGAGGCGAAAAGCGAGGCGAAACAGTCCAGTTGAGAGCTTGACGCCGACTGGTTGACGAGGCAAGAGGCGCGGCTGATCCGTCCGTCGGTTCAAACATAAAGCTGGATGTCGTCGCCTGAGACGATGCCTGAGGCGCTTGATTTCCCCTTTGCTTGCTTGACCATGGCCGAGGAGTGGTTGATCCCGCTGCATGAAATAGTCAACCACCTCCTTCCCCGCCTCGCTCGGGCTCGCCCGCAATTAGACTGCTTTAGGGTTCACCTCATACTTTATCAATACTTGATCTTTCGCCCACCTTTTGCTTGACCAAGGGCGAGGAGTGGTTCATGCGCTCCCTCACCGCCTCCTTACCTACGTCCTTCCGCAGCTCGCTCGGGCTCACGTGCAGGCGCCCACCTAGAGGCAATTTCTCGGTCGCTCTAACCATTGATCCTGAATCGCACCTTGCTTGACGAAGGGCGAGGCGTGGTTGGCGCGCTGCATGACGTGGTCAACCACCTCCTCCATCGCCTCAATGTGCTCGCCCAAAGGTGACTTTTGAGTCGACTCAAAAGTCACCTCGCCCAAAGGTAGTTCCTCAGTCGTTGTGACGCCTGATCCTTACTTCCTACCTTCTGTTTCACCAAGGGCGAAGCGTGGTTGGCGCGCTGCATGATGTAGTCAACCACCTCCTTCACCGGCTCGCCCGGGCTGGCCAGCACCTGCTCGCCTAAATGCAACCTCTCAGTCGTTCTAACCATTGATCCTGGATCGCACCTTTTGCTTGACAAAGGGAGAGGCGTGGTTGACGCGTTGCATGATGTAGTCAACCACCTCCTTCACTGTGTCGCCCGGGCTCGCCTGCAGGTCCTGGCATATCTCGTCCAGGCGGTACACGGGCGCGATCTTATCGTCGTCCGACGTCACCTCGTCGATCTTACGCGCTCTCCAAAACGACTGCATGATCAGAAACGGGTTATCCGACGAAGTAAAAGTCCGACAGGCGTACGCTCCTTCGTACGCCGGGATCGCAAACTTGCTGTGGGCTAGTCGAAGAACACGCGCAACCAACAAGACGCAGAGAAAAAGTGCAACCGTCGGACCTCTTGCGTTTCATGCCAGCGCTAAAGCCATGGGTTCGCTACACTCGACGCCATGCCTAGAATCCAGGCTCGCGAGGAGTAAATGTGGCCGGAATGGAATTCTGAAATGGGGTTGAGGCAAAAGGCAGGAGAAATGCTTGGCAGCCTGGTGGTTGGTTCAGCTATCGCCTCGCCTGCTGCTGCTGCTGGTGCTGGTGGTGGTGATGGTGATGGTAGCCTCTTGCCTGTTGGCTCGTCTGCTGGTTGGAACATTGTCAACCCCGATGTAAGAACCGCCGCCTGTAAATCTCCCTGCTGGTAGAAAATGGATGACTCCTGGCCCGCAGTTGAATTTGTGACGTCAATCCACTATTGCGGATGAGATCTCAAGTACAGTCTGGTGCCAGAGGAGAACTATTTCCACCTCTTACAAGCCCTATCATACCAGAAATGAAACAATCAAGAGTGGCCATAAACCATACATGTACCACATCATTCCTTGGTTAGTTTGGAGGCATATTCGTATCATTCTTATGTTTTTGCGAACCTGACTATGACAAGCTTGTACCACTGACTAAATCGCAGCCACTCATATAGGTGCGAAGCAAAGTGAACCCAGCCAGAGTAGGCCTAGCACAACCAGCCCACACAACCCCTTTTTCCAGAAGTACCCTGATTGACCAGTAGATGAAACCAGCACATAATCCCAAGGGCTAGATGTTCCTGTGGCAGACCACTAATGTCGCAAAAAACACAAGCTGCTGTCCTCCTACTGTTGCTTCCAGCTCAGCGCGTCTCGAGCCGAACGCGTTTCTTCAACCTTAGCTACTTCGAGCGAACCACTCTGTGTTAGGTTGTCGTGGCAGGCTCTCGCAACTTCCGTAATGTGGTGGCGTGTAGTCTTCAAACGCCAGGTGTTAGCTTGAGTTGAGTGACGAAGCCGCGACCATCCGTGACAGCCACTTACATCACCCTAGCCGTTCCAATGCCGTACGTTGCTCGAGTCTAGCTGTTTATCAGTCAACCCGGGCCGCCGCCATTCGCCGTCATCCGGACCAATTCCTAATCACGAGATGGGTTGTCTTCCTTCTAAAGAGGGCACGGCGAGCGTCCCCGTATCAAAAAGTGAGCCGAGCAGCCTACCCTTGAGTTGTTGCGCTTTGCACGGCAATTTCTAGGTCGTCCACTCGGAGCTTCCTTCGTGTCTTTTGCAATGTATACCCACTCTAGTGTACCTAGTAGTCAGCATTTGAGCAGACTCAACAGTCCTTCGCAATGTATATCCACCAATGCGCTTAATAGACGGTACGACGTTGTTTCACAGGTATTTAGCAGAACCTGATAAGTATTTGGTAAGTGTTTGCCAAACTCGCCTTTCTCCGTTTCCTGTATTCCTCACTCACGCACCTTCTCTCTGCAGGCTCCAAGTCGGTACCTTCGCTCTCAACTGCCAAGGTCTCAACGGCAGACGACGGCGACGAATCGTCTTCTAACATCCGATTCCTCACTTACGACGACATCAAGCGAGCCACGGACAACTTCTCCAATGTCCTCGGTGAAGGCGGCTTCGGTAAAGTGTACAAGGGCCGGTTACGCGGCGTTAATGGGGATGACGACGAGGACGTGACGTTCGTCGCGATCAAGGTTCTGGCTCCGCACAGCTTCCAAGGAATCGAGGAGTTCCTGGTGAGTGGGTCGTTTCAGAAGCGTCGTGTGATGTTGTAACTAGGTGACTGTTGAGTCGACGTGGAAAGTCACCACGATCGGGGTTTTGGCTCCGCACAGCTTCCAAGGAACCGACGAGTTTCTGGTGAGCGGCTCTTCAGCGTTCAAAGGGCTTAGGATATTGGGGTTTGGAAGGATGTGCAATTAAGGCGGGTAAAGCTTTGTAAGGGAGAGTATATATATTTAACGAAAGCGAGGACGTGAAGTGGTGGTAAGGTGGGGCTTGCAGGCTGCAGGGATGATGGGTTTTGCTGATTCGTGCCTCCCTTGTGCCTCCCTTGTGCCTCCCTTGCGTCTCCCGAGTGTCGCCCGTGTGTCGCCCGTGTGTCTCCCTTGTGTCGCCCTTTATGCCCGCTACAGAACGAGATTTCGTCAGTGGAGAGCGTGCAGCACCCCAACATTGTGAAGCTGCTGGCATGCTGCACGGAGAAGGTCAAGGCGCTGGTGTACGAGTACATCCCCATGGGAGACGTCGACGCGCTGATTGCCAAGTGTACGTTCACTGGGGAAGGTGTTTCTGGGAGAGAAGTGAAGGTGTGTGGACGTTAGCTGTTAGCACACAATTTTGGTACGATATGGGGACGGGGAGAGAGGAATATCCGCTGTTGGTGCGGTACCTAGAAACGCGAGTCAGTGGAGCTTATTTTTTGTCGCCATTATCCATAGGTGGGTTGAGAGAGAGGAGCACGGCGGTTGCAAAGGGATATGCCCGTTGACCTCAAGGGAAAATGCGGGTGCAAGTGCAAAGAACCTTGTGCCATGTCGATACTCTGACAAGCGACTGCCAAACCTTCTTCCTTGCCTAACCCTCCATGTGTCACAGGTTCGGAGGGCAAGGCGAAATTTTCGTGGGCTGACCGGATGAAGGTGATCATGGGCACAGCGGAGGCCTTGACGTACATTCACAGGCAGCGGTTCATCCATCGAGACTTCAAGGCCAGCAACGTGCTACTAACAGAAGTAAGTATTAATTTTGGCCTCCTCCAGCAGTACGTTCTAAGTTCTGATGGATGTAAGCAATGGTGCCCTCTCCATCCTCCCTGCGTCACCATCCGCCTGCTCTGCTTGCCATCCGCCCTCACTGTTGCATACAAAACAAAACAAGACTCATCCCCATGCTCCACAAGTTTTGATTAGACATCCCTGGAAGCAGCTCTTTCTTTTGCCTGCAGGTTGCCCATACCTGCCTCTGGTTTGCATCGTCGTCGTCCCTTTGTCCTCGCTTCAACGTGGTCGACCCACCCTTTTTTCTGGCCTTGCCCTTTCTCCCTGTCGTTCCCCTCTATCTCTTGATTGCAGGACTTCACTCCAAAGGTGGCGGACTTCGGTCTGGCCAAGGGCATAGATGACTGGAAGACGCACGTGACGACGCGGGTCAAGGGCTCCATGGGTTACATTGACCCCACATACTTTGAGTCAGGTGAGTCGGAATGGCTGGACAGATGGCTGACACGACCACTTGACTTCTTGCTGCAGTATGTTGGAAAAAAAGGAGGATGATTGCTTCTGGCATAGAGTTCAAGTTCTTTAAGTAGCTCCTGGTCCGTTTCTTATGTATGCTTGTTTGCCTGTCGGCTATGCTGATCATGCGGCTGGTTGCCATTGTCGTGTGTACGATGCCCATGCCATGCGTGCTAATATGCTATTTTTTTGCTGTTCTGACTGTACCAGGGCATCTATGTGACAAAAGTGACGTCTTTGCCTTCGGCTTATACTTGGTTGAGATTCTCGCCGGCAAGTCGGTGCTGCGACAGGGGTTTGCTGAGGACATCAAGGCGTGGCTATATGAGGCAGATGCTCTCAGCGCCGAAGACATGCTCGATCTCTCAATCTTGAATGAAGCAAACAAGAGGGAAGCACATGCCATCGCCATCATTGCCAAGCAGTCGACGGCTAGAGATTGGGCCGATCGTCCAACCATGGAGGAAGTGTTGGAGGTGCTAAAAATTGCGATTAAACTACCAGAGGCTCCTAGAAAAGACAACGAATCTCAAGAGAACGGATCATGCATGACTGCATTATAGTGTTTTGAAGGGCTTCTACTTAGAATGGGGTATTTGGTTTATTTATAAGAAATCAATCTTCGTTTGTGTACCGGTGTAAGTTCCACTTTTGCAATGTACACCGCAGTCCAGTCAACCTCGAGATTATCTCAGCTCCCACCTTCCTCGTCCCCCTGGGATCAACTTCAGCGGACTGCTGCTGTATCAGCCAGTTCCACCACGCACACCACCACAAACCATCATCAACCTCGAGTCGAGAGTCAGATGTCAGGACTGTTTTTACTGTTCTGTAGTATTGTATCAACCCGTTTCTGGCGCAACCTAAAAGCAGACCAGTTTCAAAATCTCACGCTACCTCTCCCCTTCCACTCTCGGACACAGCATTCACCCCCCTCAAATCCCTAATCGTATTCCTATTTATCGGTTAAGCTTTATTCTTAATTCTTCCTGGCAGCATGTTCGACGCGTGCGACTAACTGTGACGTAACACGTCCGAACCGTTCTCCACACCACACTGGTTTATTTCACGTCTTTCATTGCAATGAGCCGCATGCATTGCGCGTGAATTCCCTGATACTTGGGTGACCGAAACTAGGTCAAATGCAGCGGACTCACTCTTTATGAGGACTGGTGCTCGGGAGTGGTACACGCAGCCGACCCGTCGGTTCGCATCGACTGGGACAGAGTTAACCCTTTTGAAAAAGCCCTCACCTTTCTATCCATAGCTGACGTGGATATCGTGCTCCAATCTGAACCTCTTCTCCTGCTCTGGAGGAGAGCTGGCTTTATCGTGTAATTGGCCCGGAAGGCCTGCCTCCAGGCGGCATTCCTCGTAGTTTCGAGGAGGCTTCTCAGATAATAAGGCCTTGAGGCGGCACTCCACATGGGGGGGTGCTTGTCTCAGCCCAGCGGCGATGCCAGTACGTGCTACTCGTGCTGCACGGCTTTATGATGTCAGGATTGCGCTTATTCTGCTGCCGCTCGTGTGGTGACGCGCGACGTGCTCGCTCGCACATGTGGCGATGCCAGGGCTGCGTTTATGCTGCTTCCGTCGCCAACCCCTCCCCGTTCCCTTCCCCCCCTCCATCCCTCCCCTTCGGTTTTGCCTTCTCGATCCATCCTGCTCTTTCATTCGCTCTGATCCCACCGCTCCTGGTCGTTCTCACCACCAGCCTGCGTTCCCTCCCCTCCTCGTCATCTACACCCCTCCATAGTCTATCACCTTTACACGGCTACTCTCTTTTGCCTTTTCCATTCGTCTTCTGTTTTTTGGGGTGCTTCATAGTCTACCCACTTAATTCTCGCCATCCAATATTCTTTCCTGTTCCCCCTCCAATCGCCCCTCCATCCCTCCCACTCCATCCCTCCCCTCTATCCCTCCCCTCCATCTCTTTCACTTCCCCCTTTCACTTGCCCCTTTCACTTCCCCCTTTCACTTCCCAGAGTCGTCCCACTACCCGGACAAGAAGCCCTTGGGCCAGGGGTTTCCAGAGTACACATACGACGAGATGATGCTCATGACTGACCGCCTCAAGAAGCCCATCGGCCAGGGGGGCTTCGGAGTCGTGTACAAGGGCTTCCTGCATGACACAGCAGCAGCGGCAGCAGCTGCTGCTGCTGCTGCTCCGGCTGGGGCTGCTGGCGAGGGGAGTGAAGCGGAAGGGGAAGGGAAAGGAGGGGCGGAAGGTGCGGCGGCACAGGTTCTGGTGGCTGTGGCGGTGAAAGTTCTGGATAACGAGGATGTGGAGCTCAAGGACGACGAGCAGTTCCATGTAAGCGCGGGTTAAGGCCGATGCCTGGCTTTACCCTCCCCAACCAACCCACCTCCTCTCTCCCGTTACCCTATCAGCCCTCCCCTCCTCCCACCTCCAACCCCCCCCTCTCTCCCCCCCCACCTCCTCCACAGGCGAATTTCCATGAAGCGTTTCCAGCGCTCCAACATCCTGTCGCCCTGTGCCCATTCGTGCTACCCTCTCAGCCCATCCTTCCCCTTCCTCCCCTTAACCCCTCCCCGCTCCACACTCCCTTACACAACGTTTCGCCCATGTCTCTCCCCACACACGGAGCTGATGGCTATGGAGCAGCTGTCGCACCATAACGCTCTACGGCCCCTTTCGTATTCCTCCTCTCCTCTCAACCGCATCCCCCTGCTTCATCCTCTCCTCTTAATCACAGGTGGAGCTGATGGCTATGGAGCAGCTGTCGCACCCCAACATCCTGTGGCTCTGCTCCCTCCTCCTTTCCTGTTTCCGCCGGCCGTGGCCCCCTCCCTTTTCCCCTTCTCCCCCCACACAGGCGGAGCTGATGGCAATGGAGCAGCTGTCGCACCCCAACATCCTGTCGCTCTACGGCTACGTGTCCGGACCCACCCCCGCCCTCATATACGAGTTCATCCCCAACGGCAACGCTGAGGCTTATCTTAGAAAAGGTACGCTCTCTGTTGCACTCACTCACTCCCACCCCAACCCCCCCACATTCCCTACATGTCCAAGCCCACCCCTGCCCTCATCTATGAGTTCATCACCAACGGCAATGCCGAGGCGTATCTCAGAAAAGGTACTCTCTCTCTCTCTCTCTCTCTCTCTCTCTCTCTCTCTCTCTCTCTCTCTCTCTCTCTCTCTCTCTCTCTCTCTCTCTCTCTCTCTCTCGCTCTCTCTCTCTCTCTCTCTCTCTCTCTCTCGCTCTCTCTCTCTCTCTCTCTCTCTCTCTCTCTCTCTCTCTCTCTCTCTCTCTCTCTCTCTCTCTCTCTCTCTCTCTCTGTTACCTTGCACTCACTCTCCCACCCCAACCCCTACACGCTCCCTACGCGTCCAAGCCCACCCCCGCCCTCATCTATGAGTTCATCACCTGCACCACAAGGGTGTATTTCCTGGCTTTGTATCAAGACCACTGTGGGGCATAAGAACTATGAGAGGCACTCAGCGAAATGTCATGTAGGAGGGCGTATGCAGAATTCTTTCCTAAATGTATTCCCTGTGCTATTTGTCGTCCCTATCTTTTCCCTCCCCTCCCTCCTTCCATCTCCAGCGGTCCAACGCAAGTCGGAGTTCCTTTGGAAGGTGCAGCTGCGGGTGCCGCTACAGTCGACCTGAGTCTACCTTTTGATTGCTCAAATCTCACCTCTATCTCCCCCCTCTCTCCTCAATTCCAATGCCAGCGGTGCAAGGCAAGGCCGAGTTTCCCTGGAAGGCGCGGCTGCGGGTGGCTCTGCTGTGCGCGCAGGCACTGCAGGTGATGCACCAGCACGACTACGTGCACCGCGACTTCAAGGCGTCCAACGTGCTGCTCAGAGAGGTGCGTTGCTCCGAGAGGTGCGCTCTCAGAGATGTGAGCTTGTGCAATGTGCCGCTCAGAGAGATTTGAGTGTGGGCTGTGCTTGCCGGGGTGCATACGTGCGTGTGTGTGTGTGCGCGCGCGCGCGGGCGTGTTTGTGTGTGTGTGTGTGTGTGTGTGCGCGCGCGCTCGCGCGCGTGGGCGTGTGCGCGTGTCCATGTGCGTGTGCCAGCTGCATGTGTGCTTTTGTAGAAGTGTGCACCTTTGTGAATGCGTGTCATGTTTGGACGCATGGATAGATGCATTGATGCATGCATGTATGGGCACGCACGCACAGCCTGTTGCCGCACGTGCAAGCCTTTCCAGCCCATCCTCCTCTTTATCTCCTCTCTCTCTCTCGCCTTCATGCGCCCTTGCCTTTCTCTACCAGGACCTGCCTGCAGTGCTGACTTTTGTAGGCGCCTTAAAGCCGAGTCTAGAATCGCACACTATCAAGTTCAGGATTCCTGAACTTGTTTCGTACAGTAGAGGTGACCTAGTTCAGGGGACCGCCACGTCGCAACCCTCGGGGAAATCGGGCTGCTTGCGAAGCCGATGAAAACGACAAACCACGATCGCACTGTTCACTCATACTGAACATGAAACGCCCGCAACCATTCTGAAGGCATTTTCTTGGGAGACTCGCGACTAGAGACCATCACATTAATGTTCGTCACTGTTTGCGCACTGTTTTTCGCCAGAGGTGCCTTGCCGAAAATTTTATTCGCTGAACTTTTTGGCACTGTTTTCATGGTCAGGAAAGTTGGTTTTTAACAATTCTAGACTCGGGCTTTAAGAATCTACTCTTCCCCTCTCTCCTGTGTCCACCAGGACCTCACGCCAGTGCTGGCAGACTTTGGGTTGGCACGCACGGTGAACAACTGGCAGAGCCACGTCACCACGCGAGTCATGGGGTCCACAGGCTACATTGACCCCGTCTACTTCGAGTCCGGTAGGCCGGCAATTCTCCTTTCCTGTTCTTTGCGACCTGTTGTCCATTTGGTAGTGTGGCATGGTGGTCTTGGTGAATAAGGACACACCTATCAGTGTTTACATTTTGCCTTTGCCTTTTCCTCGGTGGTTTTGTGTTATTTCGTTGACCATCTCCCTTTTGTCTGGTGCAGGTCATTTGAATGCCAAATGCGATACGTACGCATTTGGGATCTTCCTCCTCGAGCTTGTGTCGGGCATGTTGGTCACTGACAAGAACTTTGAGGGGTTGAGAATGACCCTTGCCACGGGGGCTGACCTGCCCGAAGCTGAGAAAGTGTTGGATCCAACACTGGCTGGGCAGTGGACGAAGAAAGATGCGCTTATGGCCTTAACCTTGGTGAAGTATGCGGTTGCAGGGAAGTGGGAGACACGACCTTCAATGGATGTGCTTGTATCAAAGCTCAAAGTGGTGTATGAGAGATGACATGTCTCGGAATGTTTTAGGAACCATAGATTGTTGAGGATGGTAAATGTAGGGCTCGTCTAACCCACATACCGAGCGGTACTCTGGATCGGCTTTATCTTCCACAGTTGGTTGGAATGTTTCCTTGACGGAAAAGGGTTCAACCAGCAGGATTGTAAATCATACTCTAGCGAGGATGGGCGAAGGCGAGGGGCAGATGAGATCTTTGTCAACGGCGGCCCCAAAACACGAGGAAAAGTATCCAATCAGAAAAGGCTGACTGACTTGTCTGACGGCAACAGCGCTTTGCACTCGTTTCAGGCCTCATCCAGTGCAACGTCATGAGATTGTAATGAACACCAGGTCCCAAGGAAGTGCTGTACACTATGACGTTTCGAATTCTCT